TCTAGTCGTCATTATCTTGTGTTCAATTATGTTGTGACCTTGTATCACGTTTAAAGCAGGTGTTACCAAGAACAGTTTACCTCTTCCTTAATTTCAAGGGCAACTCAAAAAGATATTCACAAAGTCCCTACAGTCCAAAATAAGTCTCTACACTGTAACACCACTAGGGTCTTAATTTATACTCTTGTAACAGACCAGTGCAAAAGGAAAGGAAAGGAAAAAGGAAAAAGCCAAAAGAGTCCAGCTTCTTTCAGTTTCAGATTCTGTATCTTTCAAAAAGTCCAAAATCAAGATATATTCCAAAAGAGTCCACGATATCTTCTAGACAAAATCAAAGGATCACAACTCATAAGAGACCCAAAATGAAAAAGCAAAACAGCGGGGGTGGAAGGAAAAAAAAGGAAAAAAACCCAAGTCCTTCAATTTTCTTCCGATTTTCAATATTCCATATTCAATAGTAATGAGCTAATATTAGATAGATAATAAACAGTACATCATCCAACAGGTCTATTTCACCACCAAGGTTTTGATCTAGTCTATTAAATTATTCCAATCAAAGGAGCCACTTAGCTGATCCAAGGCTCTGCTTTTCGTTTCACTTCTCCTTTCACTCCGGAGCTATTTTAAACTCTTACTCTCTTTCCAAGCATTATTTACACCCAAACGCTCTTTGTTGCCAAATGTAATTACCCTTTAGGTCTTCCTCTTGATCCCTGCCATGACCATCGTCTTCTCATAAATAATCCTTCAAAAAAGTTATAAAAATTGGTGGCCCCCCTGAAGCAAAGCCGGTCTGCTGTGGGTCTGTGGAATGCTCTTACGTCTGCCTGACTCTTGCCGGACAATCACGGCAACAAATCTTGCCAAAATTACCAGCTCCGAGTCAGATTGAGCCTCCTCCGAGCCCCCTCCGAACTCCGAATAATTGTATCCTTATAAAGGAGAAATGCAAACATCTGTTTCAGACATTTCAAAGAAATACAAAAAGAGAAAGTCCAAGGCAGTTATACTTCCTACACAAATTTTTTTTATAAGCAATTCCATGATATGTTCTTTTAAAACCACATAATCATAAGCTTCCTCAAAACATGATTATTGTTCCTTCTCACACAAGAAATCCATCCCTTCTTCCAAAATCTTGCAATATCCTTGTGCAGTATTCTGTAACAATACCAGAATGTCAGGTGGAGAGCTATCAGTGATAATATAGATATATTCAAAAAGGAAGGTTAATTAAATCAGAAAGAAGACTATGGCAGAGAGAATGGATTTGCAGCAGACCTTTTTTTGTTCAATTTAGTGTCAGTAGGACAAGAGAAGAATAAAAGATCAGAGGACTTGCCTTCACAAACCTAAGTCCCCTGAATGAAAGCGATTTCTGGTCATACTAGAGTGCTCTTCCAGTGGTCAAATTTGAAAGAAAGGGTAAACACACCCATGACCCACCATGGGTTGTGTAAGCCCTTCCGCTAAAGTCAGTAAAGACAGAAAGATCTCTGGGTTTTTAAAGTTTTTTCTTCTCCTACAAAACAAGGCATGAAGAGAGGTTATACTTTACTTTAAAGGAGAATTATGCCACTGGTGATTTCTGAAGGCTCTGTTTTGTGTGTGTTGATTCTAAAGATACAAGTATCTGCAGGTTTAATATCCACAGATTTGAACAGCCAAAAATTGAAAAGAAGAAACATTTCTTTATTTTTAACCTGCAATGGCCAGACGCAGTCCCAGGGCACTAGCAGAGGCAGAGGCTAAGGCAAGACCTGGGTAAACCAATCCTCCCTCATGGTAGTCAATCCCACCAGAAAGCCACAGTAAGAACTTAAAACCTTTTCCTCACTCTTTCCTTCCTTTACATCACAAAGTCATCTCCAAAATTTAACCCCTGCATCATCTCTTTCCCAGTTTCTCACAAGGAAGCCTCTTCCAGAATTTAAACTCCTGCTTTCCCACTTTCTCACAAAGAATCCTCTGTCAGTATTTACATTTCTGTCTCACTTTGTTTCCCACCACCACACAAAGAAGTCTCTGACAGAATTTAAACCCCGTTCCTGCCAATATACCACCTTGCATTGGGAGCCCTGGTTGCCCAGTGGTTAAATGCCTATGCTGCAGCCACAAAGTTGTGAGTTTGATCCCAGGCAAGGGTCCAAGGTCCTCTCAGCCTTGCATCCTTCCATATGTCACTAAAATGAGTACCCAGCTT